ACATATCTAGATATACCTGATTGTTGTTCTACCACCAAAACGAACGACGGGCTTCCACGGGTGGTGGATCGGGGTCCTCGATCCGATACATATCAATATGATACGTTTGTTGGACCCAATCATGAAATTGATCCCATGATATAGTGTATTGATACACCGTGTGTCATTGATGCATCAATGTGGTGCTGATCGTAGACTGATCGTCATGAATCATATTTGTCCGAGGCAGCTCTTGAGGCATATATTGGTGCTGTTCTGTATAATGTTGTTGCTCAGAGAAGGATAACCAACTATCACCATATTGTTGTTGCCCGTATGATTCTCCATAATACGATGAGCCTCTTTCTATGTCTATATCATGTATGCTCTGTCGTATTTGTTCATATTCATCCACTGCCTTCCCCTTCCCCTTCCCCTTCCGCGCATAAACTTGACCGTTGGAACGCTGTAGCACTGCTACAGTGCGGTAACGGTCTATTTCGACCGTTACCGAGTGGTACCGAGCGGTACCGAGTGGTGCCGGACGGTAACGGTCGAAATTTCGATCGTTACCGCCCGATTTTGCCTCGTATCGCCCGATTCCGCGTATCGAAAACCCATCGGACCGGTACGTACCGCCCGGTACGGACGGTATGCTTCGGTATGGCAAACCATGGTTGGAATCGTTAATATAGTCAAAAATTCAGTATCTCCCTTTCTCATAAAATAACTAAAAACTTATGTAGAATATGGAATTCAAATAATATATATATTAAATAAGAGGTGCCTTTTCTGTTTATACAGTTAAATAAGTTTGAAAGTATATAAGGTTGTGCCACACCAGTGGCAGCTGAATCAAGGAATCAGACTTTTTATTGTGCCCTTTCGTACCTTACAATTGTTAGAGATGTAGTTATTTTTCTGATAGAAGTTGCTTAAGATGCTTAACTGTATAGTATGTAATAAGTTCAGTAGATGTATTGTTGATCTTTATTATGGTAAATTAGTTCTACAAATTTGGATCTCACCTAAGCTTACCATTTGAGGATCTTGTTCTGTGAACACTTCTAACCAAGACTAGCTTTTTCCCTTGGTTGTAGTCATTATTCACTTATAGAGAGCAGGAAAGGTGCCAGGTGGGTGGGCAGCACAAGAATTAGGGCACTGGGGTATGTTGACTGAGTGAGAGAGAGAATGTTAAGGGTTTCTAAACTTTGGTTGCTGCAACCAATGTTCATCAGCATTTGTGAACTTTTTATAAGAGATTATTGGCCATTGAAATGTTATATCTGGCTATTTCTTTTCATACATTGTTTTCAGTTTTTACCAAAAGTTTATGTTACATAAATATTATCTTGGCTTTAAGTAATCTTTTGTTTGTGATACTCATTAAGAGCATGGTTTTGAATGACCCAATAGTTGTTCTGATACAAATTTCTTGTTTATTTAAAACTTTTGTATATGTTTAATTACCTTTCGATCTTTTTTCATGGCCTTATGAAAATTTTTTATTGCCCTTGGAAGTGCTATATTCTGGACCCTGATCAGAGATTTATTTATTGCATATGCACCATACTAACTAGTTTACAAGCTTTTTTTCTTAGGTATGTTTTTCAAGCCACACTAGGAGTCTAAGAGACTAAGACTACTTTTATTTTGCAGATTTCATTCTACTTGTGATTTGACGCAAACAGCTAGTATGGATCATAGGCACTCAACTAGTCAAACTCAAATGTCTGAATTGGATGACGAGCGAATTTGGAACCATCCACAGCAAGATGGTCTATTGAACTTGGGTAATTTGCACAATTCCAAGCATCATTAGTTTATAGCTTCTCAATCTATTAAAAAGACCAAAAGAATTAAATGTTTTAATTTTAATTCCAGGAAATGGCTCATTTGTGTTTCCAGCTAACAATGTGGCCTCCAATGGGGTTAACCCTGTCACTTATTTCAACCCTACTTTGAGGGCAAATGGCATCCAATCAACAAGTTTTAGTTCTGAGGTTCCGAGATATGCAACAACTGTTACAGGAACATCTCATGATCCTTGTATGCATCTTCCATCAGGTGGAAGCACAAGTCAACCTACACACCATTCTGTTCACCACGGATCTTCCTATAACCAGCATACATTGAGGGAAGGGAGTAGCATTGGCAATCCATTAATGGACCATGAAAGAGCAACCTATAAAAGGAAAAACCCAGGAAGCTCCATGCCTCCTGACAGAGGAAACAGGAATGGATATTATAGTGCTGGAAGTTCTTCTCAGTGCTGGCACCCGTATCATGTCAGCTTTGTCCACAGTCACAGGAATGACAATGCATCAAGTTCTCAGGAAGGATCTCAAAGGAATGTCAGAAGTCGACGTGGTAATGCCATTCACCTAGAAGACATCTCACCTTGGATCAGTTCAAGTAGCAATGGCTCTCATCATAATAATTCAAATGCAAATACTCTGGGCGCTCACATGGTGGGACACTGGAGCCATACTCCTGTATCTATGCAACCTAATGCGAGGGTTTCTTCTTCAGGTTTTATTTAATTTATAGTTCTGTACTTTTGTGTTTTTTACTCTATTATCTTTCTCCGGGGTTGCATTAATGCTAATTTATATTTTTACTGGGTCCATGAAATTGCAGAGATAGGCTCCTTCAATCATGGTATAAACCAGTCTTATGTAACAAGTCATGCCACTAATAATAACTTGGAGACTGATGGATTATATAGATCCAATCTTACACCTTTTCCAACTCCTGGTCCTTCTGCAAGAGGCCTGGCATTTGGTCCAAGTGGCTATGGTCAAAGAACAGCATACAGAGCCAATCCGAGCTACCCATCCATGGGTTTGGCACCTACTCCTGAAGATGTCGGGCTGCCAAGGATGGAACCTGCTGTGCCCCCGAGGTATTCCACGCCAGTTTCTATAGCACGACAGAGTAATGAGAGGAGTGGAAGAAGGAATCGGTACAACCGATTCCAATCATTCCCAAATGAGGAAAATGCCCGAGTTAGACAGATGGAGGTGAGAATTTCAGTTTGAGACTTATTGTTTGTTCAGTCAATTCCAATGATATGTCACCCATTAGCTACCACAGAGATTGACTAGTCATGCATCATCACTGCAGGGTGTAGCAATGATGGGTCACCCGACCTTGTACGATCCCATGCACATGTTTGATCAGCACCATGGCATGAGACTAGACATAGATAACATGAGTTATGAGGTAATTAAGTGCTTGTTATTTCATCTTATAGTCTTCTGGAATTGTTCATTCGTCATATCTAGTTCCGGTGTGTCTGTACAGGAACTGCTTGCTTTGGAGGAGAGGATAGGCGATGTCAGCACTGGTTTATCTGAAGACGCCATCAGAACAAGCTTGTCTGAGACAATATATTGCATGTCCGATCGATTTCAAGATGGCCAGGATGAGGATCGGTGTGCGATATGCCTGGTAAATTTATCGAACCAATTCATCAAAGAGAGATAAAAGATGCTTTCGGTAATGCTTGTCTTTTTGGATTAATCTCGACCCTGTGTATGAACAACAGGAAGCATACGATGATAGAGATCCTCTTGGGCAGCTGAGCTGCAAGCATACGTTCCACTCCAGCTGCATAACGAAATGGCTATCGATCAAGAACGTCTGCCCGATCTGCAAAGCCTCAGCCTTGGAAGATACACCGAAAGGGGAATGAACAGCTGCTAAGTGTCTTCCAGTCATTCTTCAAATTTGTAAATATATGTTCTGCGAAGCATTCATTATGTCTAAATGGGTGCCTGCAAAGTCAAAAGAAATTTCTTCTGGTGAATTGCCAGTGAAGCTTTAGTTTCTATAATTATCGAAATTTAATGATCAGTATTCTGCAAGATAGTCTTTTAGAATGAATTCAACATTCTTTTTCCTCCCCACCATGGTTGGCTGTGTGATATCACTTCATCCATAAAGACAAATCAAAACTAAACTAAATGTTCATCCATCCATCCATTGATCCAAAAGCAGCATCACAGGACTCCTACTCGGAGCCCACTAAATTAAATTCATTGGTTCTTGCAGCATTAAATAATGACGCACGTGATCAAGTGAACGACACTGACTGATTTAGATGTCTTTGTCCAGTTCTTGTGGCCCCTTTTGAGGGCTTCTTGAAGACTCTTTGACCTAAGAAACCCTAAAAAATATTAAAGAGGATCCCAAAGCTTTGATCGACAAAGAATTAGCTAAACCAACTGGCAACACAACTGCATGCTCTATTTATATATTGTAATTTATCCTTCACCTAAAATTATACTCATCTTTAAGCTGTGACCCAAGTGGTCTCCAGCTGCATCGTGTCTCGAGAATATAAAATATAGATACACAATACGAAGACTGAGTAGAATCTCAATACAATACAGCCACCACATGAGATCATAGAAAGAGAAACCAAAATTTATTAGAGATGTGGTCTAAGATGATCTAATTTATCTTCATATATTTTTGTGATCTTGGAAGAGAGGTGAAGTCTAATTGAACATAGCATGATGCGGTTCAATGTTGAGATGTGTTCTAGTCCAAAATAAAACTGATATTTGACTCTCTTGCTAACAAATGTATATTGAATCCTTGAAATAGAAGTTTCTATTTCATGTGTCCTAATGCAACTCTTAGCGAGCTAATATGTTTCTCTTTTGCTAATTTTAAAGGAAAAAATCCCTGATGAGACAAAATAATTGATGGAGCCTCCTAATTAATAGTCCATTCGACTTAACCCACAACTTAAGAGGGACATAACATCACCGTAATATATGTTAGGAACGAGTCAGCACTAAGAGGGAGGGGGTGAATTAGTATAGCGGATAAAATTAAGTCAATTTAAAATTTTTTCATATGATAAAAATCGATTTCAAAAATGCTTAACTCGAAAGCACGCGGAAGTATAGTGAAAATAAGAATTTCGTTTGCGATAAAGGTAAATAGCAAGAAATAAATGTAAACCATATTTTTATAGTGGTTCGATCGTATTGACCGAACCACCGTCTGATAGTCTCTCAGAGACTGTGTTTGGGTGGTACCATCGCTTGACACAGTCTCTACCACGACGGTTTCACCTGTTGGGTCACTGTTTGGACCTTCCACTTGGCCCAACACAGCATAAATTTGGGTCCAGTTGGCCCCTAATTGAGTTGACTTAATTATATTCTAAACTGACTCAATTAGACTCTAAACTAACTCGATCTAGATATAATCGATTACAAGTGAATTCTATGTTGTCCGATATGTCATTAGTTCTTTTGGCACTTCGTCCGATCCTTCGGTGCATCGTCCTCTCCTTCGGCGTATTACCCAATTAGCATGTTGTCTTCTCGCAACTTCTGGTCTCTTTGACGTAATGTCCGATCTTCTTGGCCCGATGCCTTAATTCACAGACCGAAACCTTCTATCGACATGTCGACCGATCCTTCGACCGAACGTCCAATCTTCTGACATGCTTGCTCTGGCCCAACATCTGATTCCTCCTGCTTTAATCGATTTGCCTCTTCTGATCGAAGCTAGTCCTGCGTTACTTAAACGCACATCAGATAAATACTATCAATTGGTTTCATCATCAAAATCCAAGATTCAACAATATGTAATCTTGATCATGACTCGATGGTTCGATTATAATTTTTAATTTTTAAAAATAAAAATCAATCGTTCCAGTTGAAATTAATGATTCACAAATATATATATATGTTTTTTTTATTTTTAATTATTTTAATTTTATTTTAAAAAATCGATATTTTGAATTAAAATCGCCCTTATATGGTTTGGTTCTAGAACTGGGACGAAGACTAGTAATACGCACCAACGACATTTCTGATCCAAGTCGTGTTTGAATTCATAATATTATATTTGAAAAGATTGGACAATTATCTTAAATGACTATGACCAACACCATAAAAAAAAAAATATATATATATATATATATTTTATATATTAGTATAATAATAACTTAATTCCACCCTCCACCAAGAAAAGGTGAGGGAGAGGACAAAGCATCAATTCCCCACTCCACCAAGTAAAAAAAAAAATTAATTTAAAAAGAAAAAAGAAAAAGATTCAATTATATGCATTAAACTCGAATTCCAAAATTAGCCTTCATTAATTGCCCAAATCCCCGTCATTAGCTTCAATTATTTGCATTAACTTAGCCATATAATCACCGATATATAAAACTTCGATGAAGACAGAGAAAGCGACGACGAGGAGGAGTTCCGTTAAAAGTCTCCGCCCGCAAACCAGAGAGAGGAGTTGACGCCGGGAGGCGATGGGGAGCTACAAGTACTGCATGTGCTTCACGCGCAAGTTCCTGTGGAGCGCGGCGCAGCCGCCGGCGGACGTGAGGGAAGCGTTCGCGGCGCACGCCGGCGGGGCGGCCCAGATGGGGGCGGACCAGCTGCAGCGGTTCCTCGCCGAGGCGCAGGGCGAGGCGGCCGCCACCCTAGCCGACGCCGAGCGGATCGTCGAGCTCCTCCGCCGGCGCCACCACCTCCCCTCCGTGCTCGCCCGCCCCGGCATCACCCTCGACGACTTCTTCCACTTCCTCTTCTCCGGCGACCTCAATCCCCCCGTCCGATCCCAGGTGGGTGCGACTCTCCCCAAAACCATCCAAGAAAATTAGGATCTTGTGATCTCGGTGCCGCTTCGTACTAAGCTCCTCTGCCTTTTCGATCTTTATAAGCAATTTGCTCTCTTTAATGCTTGTCAGGATACGGTTAAGAATACGAACAATTAATGTAGGGTTTGGAACTAAGTACTATATGTGGTTTAAAGACGAAGATTTCGATTCCAAGCGTCGAAAAGGTTTCTGATCTGTCTCAGACAATGTACGTTCTGATGGCCGGACTTGAGCCCTCGTGGTCTTGTGGTGAATCAGGGTTTGTAATATGGTAAAACATGGGATCTTTCATGTACTGATCAAAACTATAATGGTGTCATGAAATTGCTAGCATTCAAGATCAAATGCTACTAAGGATTTTAGTTGAGATCTTCTAAGTTGTCGTATGCTGCGGCCATATCTTTGCTATGTCTACTTTCCTACTTGACATTCAAGTCTTCTTAGAAATGAACTTATTCCTTTCAAGACCACACTTTTTGTGGGAATTGTCTCGATATAGGCTATAATCCAATTTGTTTGTTCATTATCTTTTGAACCCACTTGATATCCACCTTTTTATATAGAATAACTCAAAAGTGGGCATCTTACAGCAATAGGACACTGCTAAGATGCTTCTGTCCTATGCCTTTGAGATCTTTGTTTCTGGTGCTGTTGTCCATCAACTCCTGTGGCTGGATGTTGTCACATTGAGCTAGTAAATGATGGATCTTGACAAACTCATAATCATACGAAGTGAACATGAAGTCAGTGGTTGATGGGCTATAAATTTATCATGTGAAGATTCTTTGCTTTTTCACTGTTAAGTTTGCTTGCTAACAGCACAGGCATATTGCTAGTAGAGTCTAGCTGTGGTGCTTTGTGTCCTTAAATTCTTCCTTTTCTAATCTAATCCAGTCATCTCAGATTGCAAATATTTAATTTCATATGAGTACTATGCATGTGAGTTGGAACCTGCAGCAAAATAGAAATTGGCCATCTTAGCTAGCTGATCAGCTTTGATAAACCTCAATTCAGGAGGGTCCTGCTACTCTAGGATCTCCCAACTACCACATCTCATCTCCCACAAACAGAGAGGATGCTTTTGTGGTTTGAAGTTTGAACAGTTGATGCCTCTATCAGCTCTGTTTTGTGCATTATCAAAAGAATATTGTCAATTTTGTGCTCTATTGGATTTAGTGGTGTTTCTATTTTACTTTGCTTAGCAACTCATAAAAAACTTCAGTTAAACTGATCACAGTTGTCCACTTGATAATTGACAATGTGCATTGTTTTTCATATTGCCACTTTTACATATAGGTTTGACAGAGATGATGGAGTGTATGATATTTGTTTATCCACTCTTTCAATCTGTTAATGCAGTACCATTCCATAAATGATATTCTAATATCCGCTACAGTTTATGCCTTGTGTTGATAGATTAAATAGCAATTCATTTAACAGCAGTATTTTGCTTGGATGCATTACTTGACAACACATTTTCTCTCCCAGGTTCACCAAGATATGAAACTTCCATTGTCCCATTACTATATATACACAGGCCATAACTCATACTTGACCGGGAACCAACTCAGCAGCGATTGCAGCGATGTTCCAATCATAAAAGCATTGCAGAGAGGTGTACGAGTAATTGAATTAGACATGTGGCCGAATTCTACAAAAGATAATGTTCACATCCTTCATGGAAGGTGAGATATTCTATTTGATGCTTGCTGTGTAAGAGCCTTAGACTAATATGACTGCAGCCAGACATTGCTTGCCTGACCTTGAAAGAAAATGTGACATGAATGGAACATTATCTAGTAATTTTCGGAGAAAAAATTATGAAATTGTTATGAACTTGTCTAATTTCACATAGATAATGTAAAGTAAAGAAATCATGCTTCACTTTGAACTCATTGTGCTTTTGTTGCTTTTTCTGCGCAGGACACTGACATCTCCAGTGGAGATGATCAGATGTTTGAGGTCCATTAAGGAGTTTGCTTTCTGTGCATCCCCCTATCCTGTGGTCATAACTCTGGAGGACCACCTTACTGCAGATCTCCAAGCTAAAGTTGCTCAGGTGACTGTTGCTCAATGTTTCCATGAGATTTGTTAGATCCACATGTTTTAATTGCCGGTTTAATTCATTTATAGATGGTCACTCGAATATTTGGAGACATGTTATACTACCCCGAGTCAGATTCTCTCGAGGAATTCCCCTCTCCAGAATCTCTAATGAACCGAGTTATTATTTCAACTAAGCCGCCAA